ATGAAAATTCAATTACGTTGGACGATTCGCTTGTCTAGACCTAGTCTACGGAAGGGATTGATTTTCTCGTTTTTAGCCGGTTGCAGTGGCACTACGCCCGATTTGGCAGGCACGGTATTTTCCCTTTTACAGAGTTTTTCACCACGAAATTCATTCAGTCCATCTACTAAAGCTCCAAATTTTGAATTCATGTCATTGCAAATCATCGTCTGCGCCACCCCTTGAACCCCAAAATTTCCGCCCCAACCGCCCCCTTGAAGGGCCCAATTTTCAACCGCCCCAAGGCGTTCATCGAAGATGACGAAAATGAAAATGGGTGTTTGGAGGTGGCAGGGGGGCAATTGGGTACGATGAAGAGGGGGGACCACACGGAATTGTCATTTCGAGCCGTGAATCGGGCGTCGCCGATTTGGCTTGGTGGGCCCGAAAAATGGGTGAAGGGGGGCCAATGGCTGCGCGCATTCATTATTGGCACCCATTATTGCCTCTTGTCCACAAAAGCTCGATGTGGAGCATTTAGGAAGGAGCTGGAGGAGTGGAACAACGAGGGGATGGGGGTCGGCCAGAAAAAAAATGAAAGAAATCAAGCTAAATTCAGTTACCATGGATGTGACTTTAAACAAATTTTAATGAGATACCGATAAGTTTCATTATATCTGGGAAATCGATTAAACTGAGCAGAAACGTGGAAAAAAACAAGCTGAAAAATATAATTCATAAGTCATCCAATTTTAAAATGAAGGGTTAGTAAGATATCCTATTGGAAAAATCGGCAAAAATAAACGACCAAAATCATAGGAAAACAAGTAATTAACAAAATTCGAAATCTATCCTATTCATTTTCACGCGCAAAGTATGCAAAAATCTGTCTAAACTGGACGTACGGCGGTAATGCAGTTGATAAGCCTTTAAAAATCGGATAAATTAGTTTGTTTGAATAAATTATTCCACCCCAAAAATTGACGCTAATGACGATGGCAAGAATAGTGTTTGGGTAGGGTCCACGGCCCAAAATCAGCTTATGCCCCTTCACGCGAGTGCGGCAAGAAGAGCCAAGAAAAAGGGTCCCTCCACCCCTTACACTATGCACCTAAAGACATATAATCCTCAGAGATTAACATCCGGCCCCGAGGGACAACACAATCAACCGACTTTTTGGGTTGGGAGCTGAATTTTCGAGGCGCCGGAAGGAGAGAGAGAGAGAGAGAGAGAGAGAGAGAGAGACAGTTGCCAAGAAGCCTTGAAAGTTTAATTCTAAACGCTCTGCTTGAAAAAAATTTAACGTCCAACTTTTTCTTATGTTGTCGTAGGAGTCTGATTAAATAGAAAGCAGTTTAGTGGCATTTATACTCTTATAATACATAAAGCTATTAAAAATATCGTATACCCCCGCTAACCGACCAGAACCGAAATTAATTCTGAAAGTAAACTGCTTCTTTTTGATGAAAACGTTTCCAAAAATGGGGGTGAATCAACGATTCCTCGTGGAGGGGGGGGGGGATCGGCCAATTTGAGATGGGGAACGGAGGGCGGTCATTTGTGAGAAATTATGGATGAGCCGGATGGTGATTCAATTCGCGGCGATTGTGGCAACGGGATCGGGAGGGTCGGCTTGGCAAAGGAATCAATTAGAATGATTTTTCTAGGTTTCGTGCCATGAATTATACCCTCAACCGGCGCGCGAAACCCGCAACGCGACGCAGCGCTCGAAACGCGACACGCTACGCGGCACACGACGTGGTTTCCGACGCATGCTCCGCAATAGGCAACGCGAGACGCGACGCAGACGCACGCGCCCTTTGACTGGAGTAAAGGCGCTGGTTGCATCACGCAACGGAAGATATTTTTATAGGGTATCGATAGCCATTCAAATTCCATTGTCGTCCTTTAACCTATGTGTCCAAACTTGCGGTATTTTCCAGGATTGAGTACTTAATAATTAAGCCTATACTTATTAGCATAGTAACCCGCAAAACACTAATCCTTCCCTGAAACGGCAACTTTAGCCTGAAAGTGTGTGATTGAGGACCCTGGACCCCCTTCAAAGTGACTGGCTACATATCGTTTTTGACAGGCCGGCCGGATTGAGTGATTTCTGCCCTGCTTCATCCCCCTCCTTTGCCACTACGGAACGGAGCGGCCGGATCTGGGAACAAGTGGCCATCGACACGGGAGGAGACACATTGACAACTGCCACTCAATACTCCTCAAATTTCCACCCGCAAATACACCCACAGCATGCCCATCTGTTTGGCTCGGTCGTTTCGAATTGGCCAAACGACTAGAATAACACTGCAAATCGCATTACAGAAAACAAGGGCTGTAGGTCGGGGGAGGCGGTGGGAGGAACAGCGCTTTTGAAATCGGAGCCGTTTTGGAAGCGAGCATCGGAGGAAAAGCTCAAAAACTGTTGAGATGCTCGGGTATTTCGTGCGGCTCCAAAGAAAAGTTTTGCAGGCTTGATTCAAGGGGTGCGAGAGCAAAAAATTTGATTCTTTCCACCGTCTAGGTATTGACAGCTCTGTCAGGATCCAAAAATCATTTTTGTACCAGCTGATTTAGTCATTAAAAAATTGCGTTTTGCGGTTTTGCGGCATTATACTAAAGGTAACCGGGTCTGAAGTGGTTCTCCCTTGTCGACACATAGCCAATAGTAACAGTCCAATTTTTGCCTTGCTAGCGCCTTTAGAGAGCGGCAATTCAGTTATAAACAAGGCGTAATCGGTTGGTAAATCAAAGTCATAAAGGTATGTCAAAACTATGATATACGGGTTTAAGTCTTTGGTTCCGCTACGAGTACATAATTGAGTTATACCACCCTCTCCGCCACAATCCTGAACGGATGATCATAAAATATGAAATCGGAGGGGACGAGTCATTTTGCCCCCCGAGGGCCCCCGTTTCAAGGGAAATGACTCATTTTTTGGGGTGTTGGTGGGAGACACCCGTGTCAATTCGTTTTGATGGCAAGAAATGGAAAAAGAGGAATGGGAACGGGCCGATCCTCAATTAAATTTTAGGATCGCTGTGCTGGGATCGAGGGGAGGGTCGTGTGCCCGTCGCTATATGCCATTTTTACAATGGATTGGGTAAGGAAGGACATATTGCCCTTATGATTCTTTGGGGTTGATAAGGTGACCGGAAGCCGATGATTTGGGGGGTTCAAGGTGCCTGGAATGCTTAGAAATCGACCGATCACATCGACTAGGTTTCGACCACCGTGCGATATGTCGCCCCGCCCCCGTGAATTTGGCTGCACATTGCTTGTGTTGCAATGCGCGTTATTCGTAATTTGTACTGAAGTTACTTTAAAAGCGGAAATAAAAAAATAAAAACCCAAAACTACCGAAAAATCCCACCTACCGTACCTACAAATCCAGCGGCAACGCTCAAAAGTAGCCAATCGACGCGCAAAACGACCCTTTTTCGGATGATAAATCGAATTTATGGCCCATTCATGGGGGAAGGTCTATTGCTATGGCTTCTGATGATAGATTGTCGTTATACGGTGTGTGACTCTTTCTCTCTCTCTCTCTCTGCGCCTCTCTCTCCATCCGGTCTCCATTTTCGGCGCCGTTCGGCCGATCCGCCCCGTCGTTTTCTTATACCTTCCGAAAAACCGTGATGAATAATGATTGTGTTGAACGTGGGCATATCGCCGCGGAAAATTGCCCTTTTTTGCCGGCTGATTTGCCGGAGTGGATGGGGGAAGGAAAGTGTGAAAATTATGATGGATGATGATTGCCGTGATAGGGAGGGTGAGAATGGGATGGAGACGCCCTGAGACTCGCGAACAACGTTTGGATTTTGCAGTGGCGATGATTCGGGTGGGAGAGTGGGGATTACGGGGCCTAGTCGACCATTTGGCAAATTGTCAAATTTCACATCGTAGCACTAAAGGGATCACAGAGCGGGCGAATCAGAGCTTCTTCAGACGAGGTAATGTCAACTCCAAGAGGTGCACAGTTCTCTAAGTTAACTTTACTCAAACAATAAGTTAATTTTAGCGACCCCTAGCTACGTAGATGGCTTCCCAATACACTAAATGGTAAGCCGTACGGAGTATCGCGTAGATGTCGAGCCACCAGTCACCGAAAGTTGTCGACTTTCGTGCTTACAGCCTATGTAAATTGGCGTACATTCGTGCTTCCCTGCCGCTTGAAATTGACTTAAAATCGTCTTATTTAGATTTATCTGGTAGCTGTCAACACCCCGGTCGCTGAAAACGTGGATTTCCACGCTTACTAGCCCCTTTAAAACTCGTCTTTTCGGGTTGTAAATTCTAAAGGCAGATGCTAGCATGTAAATATGCTAGCCCGAAACCATAAAAATCATGATAAGCCGAATTAAGCCTCTAACTTTCCACTCCCGATTTCCCTTTCCTTGCCAGCCACTACCATCTCGGGTGCGAAAATTATGATTGATGGCATTTTTGAGCGACCCCGGCGTTTCCTGCCTCCCGAAAAAATTCCTATCCTTGCGTATATTCCGGCCAGTGGCAGATCCTAATCACAAAGAAAAACATATCGACAGAATGGGGGTGGCGGTCAGGTGACTGGAACCGAGTTAGGCTTTGCCCCGCTCTTCAGGCGATTTAAAGGAAATATCTGCCGGATCCGGGGAAATTGTTGCGGTTCGGCTTAGGTTTCGCTAAAACTTTTTTTATCAAGTTTTTAAAAAACCAAATTTTCAAAAATTTGCCAATGAAGTGGATCGGGTATCAAACGCAAAAAAAACTTGCTGAAATAAATCCCAATTGCCTATTTGTTGCAGTGTAATTTGATTCTCTGCAAAAATTCGGCGCAATCTGTTCCCACGCGGCTGCTGAAATTCTACCCAAATTAAGCTGGTTCGGATTGCCGGCGGGATCTGTCTGGCAGCGCCCAAACACCAGAACTCCCCGGAGGGTAACGTCACTTTTGGAATTCGGATTTTGAGGTAAATGCAATATTTATTGTACAGTAGATAGATACACGTTTTGATAAAAAGTGAAGTGTTTAGTGGAGGCAGTCACGAGATTCTCCAGGGTATTTTCCGGCCAGCTCGATGGTACCCGCGTCGAAGGTCTGGAAAAGTGATTTTTAAATGGAAATTGTTGAAAACCGGGAGAGAGAGGGAGAGAGAGAGAGAGAGAGAGAGAGAGAGAGAGAGAGAGAGTGAGAAGAGATAATCAGCTGATAAATCAAAAATGACAAACCTGAGTCGGGTTCTTTCCCTTGCTGATGTAGCGGTTGGGAATGTTGACGTTGAATTTGCGTTGGCAAGGCTTTAAAGACGAAATTAAAACTTTTCAACCTCAACTACCTTCTCGCCATCGTTGCAATCGTGGTAGATGTTGAATTTCGGGTCAATTTTGAAGATCTACAAGAGATATAAGGATTTCATGAGAAAATGGATCTACCTCGCGAGCATGTCCGGAAGCTTGGAAGTAGCCAGAGCTGTCACTCTTCGAATCGCCGAGCAGGTCATCTTTGCCGACTGCAATTGGAAGTCAGAGGGAGAGATAGATAGAGAGAGAGAAAGAGAGAAAGAGAGAGAGAGAGCGAGAGGAGGGCGAAGTTATAACTCACGCTTATCTTTGTCGTACAGCTTGATCAGGGCACCATTGTAGGGCTTTCCGTTGCATTGGACAAGTCCTAAAAACAATACATGATTTTAAAGAACCGGGTAAGGTCAGTCCAGTTCTCTATTAAATATTTACCTTTTACCGCCACCGACTGCTGCTCGCCAATACCCAGCAGACAGAAAGCTGTTGACACGCACACAGCGAGAAGGCACACCTTTCCAATCATCTGAAAATTACTCAAGTTCAATCGGTTTTGAACGCTTAATTTAATAAAACAATTCCAAAGACTGATCGAGAAAACCCAGAAACTTTTTGTCTATTTTCTAATTTTATTGGACGAATTTTAACCAATAATTTAATTGAACGACTTAAACAAGAATAGTTTGCAGATCCAAGCAAAAACCGGGCCTTTTATATCAACGCTGCACGCAGCACTTGGTGTTTATTCGGGCCAAGTTACACCCTCGTATTTGGGCCACCCCAGAGGGGAGGCTTTCGGCCGAAAACAGGCAAACCGACAACAACATCTTCCAGCTGTGCCCGGAGGGCATTTTCTCGCCGAGCACTGATCAATTTTGATCGGGAAATTGTTGTTGCCGACTGAGTGGACTGGCAATAATTTAAACAGCGCCGGCTGGTGGTGAAACCGAATGTAAAGACGTTTAACATTAACTACGGTGTCTAGTTAAAGACCGCTAGAACTTTTGAACGCACACTGTCACCCCGAGGGTGCGCCCCCCCCCCCCAGAACGCGCAGATGAGGCGTCATTAGTGGCGCCCCGTACTGGGTAAAGTCATTCTGGGGTTTGGGTCGCCTCTTACTCCCATCCCAAATCGACCCTATGGTATAGTGGCTAGCGCGTCGGACTGTGGAGCGAACCATCGCGGGTTCGACCCCCGCCCGGTGCGCATCTTTCTTGCTTTTAACGAAATTTTATCGTTCTGACGGTCCTCAAAGGAAATTTGTAAGGTACAAGTGGTCAAGCAGTTAACGAAGCCCCCAAAAAAAATATAAAAATGCTTAAAAAGGAAGGGATAGAGGAATAAGTGCTCGTTTTCAAGCATTTTGGCGACGACTAGCCCCGCACACAATTGTTTACACTTTTTCTGCTTGTTGCACTTTCCCAAATAAGGTGCACTTTTTGGCTTTTTACCCCGTAAAAGTGCGAATATTTCCACATCATCAATTTTACACCTTGCATTGTTTACACTTTCTGCTGCGCTTTGCTAAGAATGTGAATTGGTACTTTTTGATGCCGAGAATATCCTGTATTTTGACGATAAAATTGAAGTAAATGCTTTATCTAAAAGCAGCTACCAATCATAATTTAGTGGATGCAATCGCGAGACTCTCCCGGGTACTTTCCAGCCAGCTCGATCACTCCCGCGTCGAACACCTAGGAAATCACAATCAGTAATTTGTTAGTGTGTTTGCCGCTCACCTTGCTGGGGTTCTTTCCCTTATTGATGTAGCTGCTGGGGATGCTGATGTGGAATTTGCGTTGGCAAGGCTAAACAATAATGTTTTCCTGGACCAATTGACCAAAAACGATAATAATCTCCCAACCTTCATGCCATCGTTGCAGTCGTGGTAGATGTTGTATTTCGGGTCGATTTTTGTGATCTAAAAAACCAATTTGGTTACTAGGCTCCCTTCCAAACCTCGCGCGCGTGTCCGGAGACCTGGAAATATCCTTGGCCATCGGATTTGACGCTGCCGAGGCGGTCATCTTTTCCGACTGAAATTGGGTTTTAAAAAATAGACCCAAAAAATTTGAAAATTGAATTAAAAATGTGAAACCCACGGGTGTCCTTGTCGTAGAGCTTGATGAGAGCTCCTCGGTAGGGTTGTCCGTTGCATTGAAGACGTCCTGAATGGGTAAAATTGTAGGTGCTCATCGTTAAAACGTAGATGGCGTTATTTTTTTCATATTTGGCTTTAGTATCGCTACCTTTAACAGCCACCGATTGCTGGGATCCGATTCCGAGAAGAGCCAACGCCGTGCTCAAGCACACAGCCAGGATCAGGATACGGAGCATCATTTTCTAAAGGTATGGAGTGAACATTAGGTGCAAAAATGGACAACGAAAGGGAGGTGTAAGAGCGGAGGCCAGAGAAATGGGCTGATACAGTCATCGGAAAGGCTTTTGAAGGCAGAAAGGTTGAATAAGTTTGCTTGAATTTCTCAAAATCAAATAAACAGCGCAAAGGGCGGCCGTGTTTACATAAAGCTGGATGGGAATAACAGATAATCCCCCGGAAGTGGACAAAACTATCACCAAAGCATTAGGAAATTTCTTCGACTTTAGGAAATTAACCATATTAGATTTAAAGTATTTCGAGGCCGAAACTAATCTATTCTCTTTAAGATAGAGGTCTAGCCGTAAAGCACAAAAAGAACAGAATGTAGCTAAAGTCCTGAATATACCCCAAGTTTAGCCACCACGTTGTGGTCTAAAAAATCGTAAACCAGTATATATAGAGAAACTACCGAAAAAAGAGTCAGCTGAGCAATAGCCTGGGGCATTCGGCCAGGCCAGACCACTTGAGTTGTTTATTCTCAATTCCCTGATCCCGCCCCGATTACACTGTCCATTCGATCCGAAAGAAACAAGAAGGAAAAGCCCAAAAACCCGCTTTCCTTGCTGGCGGCAACATGTTGTGACCACTGCCGGAAGACCACAGTTTTTCTGCCCCAAACTAATGTGTATAGTTCTCTAGTTCAAAGGTCAACTGTCAATGGTTGTAACGCGTAGCATAGCGGTGTATCGCATTGTGTCAGATAGAGAGAGAGGTCTTTATATACATACAGACACCCGTGAAATGTATGGCAGTTTAGTGGAGGCAGTCACGCGATTCGCCCGGGTACTTGCCGGCCAGCTCAATTGTGCCGGCATCGAAGACCTGGAAAAATGGAGGATTAGAGGTGAAAAACGATTGTTCGAACATTAGTTTTCTATTTTACTCAATTTAGTACCATTTTCTAAGCTGGTTTTCTTTTTTTTTTAAACACGGAAATCAATAAGCTGAACTTTCTTTCTTATTGCTAGAATTTTTCAAAAAAGTTTCCGCTAGCCTCCCCTCCCCTCCCTCTCCTTACCTTTGACGGCTCCTTGCCCTTGTTGATGTATCGGTTGGGGATGTTGATGTGGAACTTGCGCTGGCACGGCTTCACGCCATCGTTGCAGTCGTGGTAGATGTTGTACTTCGGGTCGATGTTGGTGATCTGAAAAGAAAAATCGTAAATTTTCAGAATCTTTCTCAATCTCGCTCTATTCTCGCTGTCTCTCTCTCTCTGTCGCTCTCTCTCCCTTTCCTTACCTCGCGGGCATGTCCCGAGGTCTGGAAGTATCCTTGAGCATCAGATTTGGTTTGGCCGAGGTTGTCGTCCTTGCCCACTAAAACGAGGAATTAACTTTTATGTTTTTCGTGTTTCACGGCTTAAAACTATTAAATTGGTGGTAAGCCACGGTACGAAAACTTATATGTAAGCACTTACAAGTATCTTTGTCGTAGAGCTTAATCGTGGCCCCCCTTATAGGGTTGTCCGTTGCATTGAAGACGTCCCTTGATAGCAACAGATTGCTGTGAGCCAATGCCGAGAATGCACACGGCAGAGGAGACGCAGAAGGCGAAGATAAGAGCTTTGAAGATCATCTGAAAAACCAGGAAATTATTCTGAAATATTAGTTAACAATTCACATCGTAAAAGATATGAAACAATGCGCAGGAGCGATCAAGTGAATTCAGAGATGCCCTGGGGCGGTATTTATCGTGTAGCGGGATAAACTTTGGCCGGATTCTGTTTATTTCGTTCGTTCCACTGCCCGCCCCAATTACACATTGGAGGGTTGCCTGGGGCGAGAAAACAAGCCCCTGGCGGTCGGATCGGCGAGCTATTGGGAAGGAATCAGAGGAAGAGCTGGAGTCTGGAAAAGCTAGAGAAAAACACGGATGATTCGGAGATCACCTAGGCCCTGAAAAACAGTATCGCAAAATTTTCTGCAAAAAAATGTGGATTCTGTAATTTAAAGGACAGGCGAAGAAACAGGAGAAATTCAAGAAAAATGCAAGAGGCGTTTGATTTTAGCGTAATGAGGAGCTCCTTGTGTTGTAAGGCGTTTTCAAAAAAATCAGTGAATTTTGTTGAAGTTCGCGAAATTAATGCAAAGATATAAAAATAAGTGGGCCGGTTTTAAATCTATAGAAATTGCTGTAAAATTTAGACTAAATAACAATCAAGTCAAGAATTTATTTTCCTAAAATGGTGGTAGAAACGCCTTTTTAGGGGCGTAGTTGGCCGTTAGAGCGCTGTGTGAATTGCAATCTTTCCACACCGCAATTTCCTTAAACATGGTAAATGTAGCTAAACGGAAAGATTTTCATCACAAATGCTAGCTACAGTCGGAAAACCTGTGCTGGGAGGAACAGAATAACGTTTTCCACGCAAAAATTCCAGTTTTTAAGCGGCGATTCCTCGATCGCTCTATTGACACGCACTTTTGAGTCACCGACCTTTACCCCGGCCCCCTATCCCAATTATTATTCGTCATGCGTGGTTTTTAACAACCCTCGCATTTTGATGTCGTCCACCTCTCGGCTAGTTCTATGAAAAGGCGGATTTCTGGCCGAGTTTTATTTACAGGGGATGGCACGGATGTTTTTTAGGGGGACGGGCGGGGGAAAGTCGTTGCCCTTTCGGTCGGGGTCGGGAGGGTTAGAGAATGAATGAATGGAAAGGCTATATATGGACAAAACACATTTCGACACGTTCCAAGGGGTGTTGAGGGGGAGAAGCTGAGGACAACGTGTTGGCGAGGAAAATAATACATAAATAGGTTTCTGTGAAAAATAGGAGACCGGATAGAAAACCCTGGATAACTTAATGAAGATATTTCATGTAATTGATGGTCAACCGTACGTAAAAACATTAGTATCAAAAAACCTCACGTTAAATTATTAATATCGATTCAAACAATATCCATATGAACGAGGTTTTGGTAAAAGGCTCCTCGAAGACGTGCGCGTTGCCGCTTGTGTGCGTTGCCGCTTCTACCGGTCTCCGGTCTACCATAGCGACGCGCGACGCAGCCGCGCACGACTAGTAAGATTGAGGTCAGCGATGCGTTAATGAAAAAAATTCTGGTAGTACCTTATTCATAAATCATCATACATACGTTCTTTTTAGTTTTCAGTGCTCCAATCTAGCATTGGATCCCATTGTTTTTCTTCGATTCCACGATCAGCTTCTCCCAAGCCACTTATCTCCCTTATTTTCGCCAAAAATTGGCCAGGCTAGACTCGAAATTCTCGTTAGGTGCATTCCAGGTCCCCCACTGCCTCGGTAAACAAATTTCCAAATCAGCAGCCTGGGCGCTAGAGAGTAAGGGAGAGGTTTGGCCCGTCTGTTGTTGTTTTGTAGAAGGTCTGCGAAGAGGACGACAGCACTGCTGCTGTCCATCTGAAAAGGGCATATTCGATTTTTGGAGTGGGAGTACAGCGGAGGGTGGGCCTATTTAAGGGGGGTCCCGGGAATATGCAGAGCCACAGCCGGCCTGTTTACGGTATCGCGCCGGGGGTTGCTATGGAAAAAGCGGGCGTTTCTAAATCCTACTATACTGTTTTCATTGTTTTTTCAGCTTGAAATTTATTGAATTTTTAGTACAAAATCCTTAAAATTCAGGTTTCGTTCAAAAAACTACCCTCTGAAAATGACTACCACTACCGTATCCCTCCACGGCCTCACCGACACCCTCAGCCCCGAGCAGGAGAAGTTCCGCCCGGCTTTTGAGGCGGCCGTTATTGCTTTCCGCGAGGCCGAGAACGTTTTCGGGGACCCGAAATTTGAGGTATTTTCGCTATTTAATCGTTTTTAAATAAAATACTTCTATTTTTCTCTCGTCTTAATGATCACCTCCATTTTCAGCTTCGCGACGGCTGGCACAAGGACGAGTCGAACGACCAGGGCGACGTTGTCTACGCCAAGAAAATGCACGATGGCCCGAATATGGTCACTGTTCAGGTAGATGATCAAAATCAGCGCTATAATCCATAACTACAGTCCCTCATCTGCGGCTCGGCCGACGACATCATGAAGGACATCTGGACCCAGCCGGAGAACCTTCCCCAATGGAACTCCAGCATCGACTTCTCCCACATTGTCGCTACACTTACCGACAATATCGATATTTTGAACGTAAGCTGGCTCTGGATTTTCTTTACTAGTGTCCGTTACAGTACTCCAACAAGGACGTGCTCGTCGTTGAGGGCCGTGAATTCGTCGTGGCTCGGTAAGTGGAAATTGGAGTGTTCGAAACTGGGGAAATTTTAGCATCTACCGCAAGATCGGCGACGGGTACATCATGGCGGCCCGTAGCGTCGACCTGGATTCCGTCAAAGAGCAAAAGGGCAAAGTTCGGTACGTTTAATAATGCTTTAATATCGAAACTACCCCACGTTTTGTTCCAATTTACACCACCTTTTCAGCGGCTTCGTCCACCTCTGTGCTTGCCGAATCCGTCCCCATCCGTCCGACCCGAAGAACAAGTCGATTGTCGACTGTGTGAACCATACTGATCTCAAGGGTAATATCCCTGACCTGCTCGTCAACCAGGTATGCGATTACTACATTAAAGGCATTGAGAAGTGCAAAAATCGACCCCGAAGGGTCGACTAGGTATCGATGGGCACGTTTTATCCCCCTATTTTCCAGTTTGTCGGCAAAATGGCGCTGATGGAGTGCAACGAGAACAAGCGTCACTTCGAGATCCTGAAGGGAAAGCACGAGTGCTGCAAGCAGCAACAGCAGCAGTGCGTCTAAATCTTGAGAACCATGTACACTACTGCATAAAACTGTACCTAAACGCTTTTTCCGACTTTGCTACTTCCAACCCAAAGCTTCGTACTTGTATTGTGCCCCGACCGAAAGATCTCTAGTCACATCTGCACTCTGGGCCTTGTCTTTACCGGTTTTTTTGTAGTTTTTGGCCCCTATTTTTTTCATGAGCTTTTGTCTGCCTTTTCAAAGCATATTTAAGGCAGTCTCGTCCGGCTTTCAGGCACGACACCTAATTGTTTGGTGGTTGGAAGCCGGGAGACTCATGGTTTTTTCATTTCTTTTTTGCTTCTCTGCAGAATAAACTTTTTAGCAGCAAATTTTTTGAAAAACACTGGATTTCGGGTATTAGGAATTTAAGAAGCTACATTATGTTTACAGCTCAATCGGGCCGCAAAACCTACAAAAAATCCCAAAATAAACAAGAATTTTTGGTCATTCAATGGAACAAAGCTTGAATTTTACCAATTTTTGCAAATGCGAACCTTTTAAGCCGTTCTTTATAGCTGCATTATAGAACTCGTAAACCATTAATTTATTAAAAAATTCACTGACGCCACGTATATGCAAGCAACGAGATCAATAGCAAAATCATAGCGACCAGAACAGCTGGCCCGACGTATGCCTTCCACTGCTCTGTGATCGTCTTCTCAGTCCCTTTAAAATTTTATTCCAAAAATGCTTTTTAGTCATTAGATACCGGCATTAACACGAACGTCGGCCGTATTCGCGTCCGTCACTTCGTTGGCTTGACCTAGAAAATCGAATTTTAAGCGCGTTTATTAATTGTTACCGGTGATTCGTTTCCAGCCGACAAGAACTCCATCAACGATCAACTGGAATAGCCCTAAAATTATGGATTCCAATTTTAGATTTTAACTTTAAAAACAGGGTTGAAAAGCCTCTTCGCGACTGTTCAACCCTACCCCCGTCTGACCCCTTTATCCTTCTTAGATGAGGTATGTTTTTTTTTTTCCCCCCCCGGGGGGGTGGGGGTTAAATTTTTTTTTTTTAATATTATGATGAAAAAAAAACTTTTAAAAATTTTTTAAATTTTTTGAAGGACTTTGCATAATTCTCCTGAATTCAGATGACAAAAAATGAAAAACAACCTCATCAATCCCTTTATATAGTCGAATCCTCAGTTCCGGTTTATGCTAATTATTCCTCTCAAATAAGTTTGCACAAAAACTAAAATTTAATGTCGAAAATAGGTGATTTTATTGAATCTGATATGCGTGCAGTCATCTACAGCCCATTACGCACCTAATGACGTAGCAAACATGCCTTAAAATTCATCCCCTATCGAGATATCCTCCGGACAGACACACGGAATTTGCATGCAAAGTGGCCCACACAGAGACATTATTTTTTATGTATAGTAGGAGTAGAATTTAGATTTATTTAGCTTAAAGTGCAGCTTTTATCTGAAAAACAAACCGACAACATGTCCCATGATATACATCCCATTTTCGGCTACTCCGTCCACTGGCTTGTCTGAATCAAGGTTTTCTAAAAAAAATTTGTTTGATGTGCTTACCACTGATAAAACGGTCATCGGTCTTGTGGTGGAATTTGCCGTCGCAGTTTTTGATGTGGTCGACTGGAAAAAAATCAAAGCCTATATCATAGAAAATAGTAATTTACCATCAGAGGTTCTGTGCATGCGATCGCGAAGGTCCACCTTTTCATTGGCCTAAAATATTTGGTGTCGTTTATTTTTTTATATGGTGTAAACCTAATTTATTCCCGTGAATTCCTACGTCTAAGACAAAAGCTAGGCTTAAAGTTAAAGTGTCTGGAGACAATTAATTTAGGATATAAACAAAAAAGGAGCAAGCTAGCAAGGATGCTTTGGGAATAACATTATAAAAGTTCTAAGAAGGGAATAAGACGTTAATGCTATAACATAAGAACTAACCATCATGATGCTTGATTTTTAGCAAAATATCAGAATTCGTTGAGGGAAGAAAATTCGGATTGCGCGAGAGGTAGACTGGGAAAACAGCTGGATTTCTGGGGCTATTTCCAAAGGGAAATAGCGCAAGTGCGTGCACCGGAGAGGGAGCAGAGAAAGAGAGGGGAGAGCGAGACAAGGGTGCAGTGAAACAGAGCAAGTTGTGGGGGTTTTATGGGGGAAAAGGGCAACACAACAACGTGCCAGCCATGCACTTTCTAGCGTGGATGGGGCAAGATTTTCTCAAGGTACGGCGTGCACCTAGTGACGATCGGTTTGAGAAATATTTGAATATAGGAAAGTAGGGACCGGATGGCTCAGAAAATTGAGGGAATCCCGAAGGGATCTCAGCCAGCCAGTTGTTTTAGAAAGCCCAGGAATTAAAAGAAAATCGGTTTTTGTACGGTAGTGCAAGTTCTGAAAGAACCTCTGCTAGTTGACCGCCTAAAAATGACGAAAGCAAAGCATCTCAAGAAAATCTATTTTATATGTTAGTGAAAATTCCTGAAAAATATTTGCTATTTTCGATCTAGGAAAGGTTTTTAAAGAGCAGACCGGGAAACCAACTTCTAAGGGTGTTTTTGCAGGTTCAGGTTCCGGAGGTCTCTCTGCTAGCACCCCGCTTCGGTAAAGGACTGTTTCGAAACGAAGGAACCAACAATATCTGCTTATTTACATTTTCTAGACATATTAACGCCCAAGGGATTGATTTTTTATCAAGCGTATTTTCCTACTTTATGACCCTTTCATTTCGCATTAAAACTATTTGTTGTTTAGTGATTTTCTATGCGACTTGGCGTCGTTTGCCGAATCCTCCGCCGTAGTCTCCCCTTTCCCCTCTCTTCATATGCCAGTCGTTGTTTGCCCCGGAATTTTTCAACGACGCTCCCCTCTTTTCCCAAACCTTGCACTTTTTGGGAATAACAGCATCCCCGAAGAGTTAGACGCAAAAACAGCACCCCCCAGCAGCCCGCTCTGGCCCCTGGCCCCTTAGCGTGCAAAAACATGTTGTTGCGCCCGTCTCCTCCTTCTCTCTCCCTCTCTCGCCCGTATATATTTCTCTGTTTCGTTGTGTGCCTTCAGTTCGAACCTTTCGAACGTGGTATTAAAAAGTTACTACCGTAATCATGGCTACAATTGCTCCGAGATGCCGGATGAGCGTGAAGCTGGCGAAGCAGGCTTTGCTCTGCACCCGGCCGCTATCGAAGAAGGCCGCTGCTTGTACTCGATTGGGGGCTGTGGCTGCACAGAGGAGCCTCATCACCGTCCAGGATCGGTTGAAGTCGACGAATTTGGGGGAGACGACCTCAAAGAGTGAGTTTTTCTCAGATTTTTTCGATGAATATAGTGCTTACCAAGTCGTTTAACCGCACCTTATCTTGCCTTTGAGACATACTCACCCCCCAGCTAGATAGCCCCCCTAAAAGTAGCCGTACCTAGAGCATGCGACGTTGACAATATCCCTTGTCAGTCATGATGATCAGCTTTCAGCTGATAAGGCGACACTCTCGTTGTTTGGTGTGACGGACACGTTGGAGGGAGACAAGCAAAAGGTTTGCAGCCCACTGGACAATCGTAAAACCTAATTTCTCCAGTATTCCGATGCGTTGACCCAGGCCGCTTCCGCTTTCCATGACGCCGAGCAGATCTTCAATGACCCGAGCTTTGAGGTGAGTATTTACAGGAAATAATAACGCCAAAAATCCCCATAATCGGAAGGAAAATGTCTATAAAAACCATTTTAGTCGAAGAAAGGATGGTCGGTTGATGAGAAGGTTGATGAAGATCTCCGAGTCTACTCGAAGAAGACTGATAAAGCTGTTGATATGGTCGCAGTAACGGTAATTTTTACTTTTCCTATTACAGCTACGCGTTTTACGAGCAATACCTGATCAAAAAGAACGTTTTCAAATACAACATCGATTCCATTAAAATGTTTCAGTCGGTTCTGCTCGGCCACGTCGACTGTGTGCACCTCGATGTTTGGACCCAACCCGACGATCTCAAAAAGTGGAAGAAAATGGTGGATCACTCATGCTTTGTCGCCCAACTCACCGACCACGCCGATATCATTCACGGGAGCACCAACAGCATGCTCGTCAGTGATGGTCGAGACTTCGTCACGGCCAGGATTTGGCGCAAAATTGGCGATAGTTACATCATCGCTTCAAGAAGTGTCGACGTTGGGGAGGAGCCGTATGAGGGGAAAGTCAGGTTCGTTTTTTAACAACTTGGCAAGCTAGTAAAGGTTTTTTTATTTGCTTGAATCTGGCTTAAGCTGTATTTTTTAGAGGAACAGTCCATCTGGCGGCTTGCCGATTGCGTCCCGATCCGGAAGACCCGAAGCACAAAACCCTCTGTGACGTCATCGCCCACGTTGACCCAAAGGGAAACATCCCCAAAGCTGCAGTGAATATGGTAATTTTTTGAGAGATTTTTTGAAAATTTTATCGTGGTTTTCCGTGTTCAAAATTTATCCCCCCTTTCCAGGTGTGCAGCAAATTGGCCCTGATGGAGGCGAAGGCGCAGAAGAAGCACTTCGAGATGTTACAAGGCCAGGGAAAGCTTGGCAAGCAATGAGCCCTTGCCATTGTTTGTACAAATTGGACATACGTGTACTTGATAAATGTGCTACTATTTCGACTAAGCAATACAAAAGACTCCAGAGGACGAATTGAAAGAGTAGAAATCAAATTTTTTTTAAGCTGGAAAGACGTAGCCTACAATTAGCAAGCGTCTTTGAAAACGACAGCTGTTATCTCGGTTTTAAAGGGCCTTGGAAGTGTGGTAATCCATGGCTTGGGCTGACTGTGCGCCGTAAAATACGCGCCACACCAAATGACGCGGCCAATTCTAGAAAATCGGGATTTCTGCAGCATCGCTATTTTGTTAGCGGAGTGAGTCGTAGCTGTAAGCCGATGTTTAGGTTGCGTTTCTGAGCTTGCCAACCTCCTCAACCGCAAAAAATCGCGTTTGGTGCTTTCGCTTTAAAGTTCCGTTACTTTCCCGGCTAGCTTGATAAGTTTTGCTTACCAACGGTCTCTCAATTTCCAGGCAAATATTTTCCTGGGCCCTATCTGCGTGGCAACTATCTCAACAAATTCCAGAGCCCCCGTTCCACTTGGATCTTCATTTCCGCATCCAAACGGCCAAGCGTTCCGACGGGGGCAGCTAAATGGTCTGGAAAAACGGCGGCTGCAATGTACGACCCTTGCGAGTGGCTCGCAAATAGTATAGTACAGGGTGTCCCAAAAAAAATCGACCCCCCCTCTAGCGGACCGCAGAAAGCTCGGATCGGAAACGGTGAGAACCTTCAAACCTTCAAACCTTCAAACGGTGAGAAAACAAGCGCCTTTGGTTTTCCAAAAAATTTTAGCCTTCGCTCGATATTCAATGATTTCTGTAAAAAGCGTTAAAACCAGCATCGTCCTGTTTGCTTTAGCAAGCAATTAACATGCCGATTTTGCATAAAATCTGCAGTTTTCATCGATTTTGGCCCTAAATTTAATGAATTAAAATTCCCATATTGAAAAACGAAAAGTGCTTGTTTTCTCGCCTTTTCGAGTGCTTTCGATAGATACCTAAATCGTCAAAATCGGACATGACTGCGGCCCGCTAGAGGGGGGTCGATTTTTTTTGGGACACCCTGTAGTGGGGTGACTTTAATAATAAGCTGCGAAGAGGGGCATCGGTTAGCCGAGGCGTTCCACCGGAGGACACAATCGAGATGGCGGGGGACATCAACCCCCGAGACAAATGAATCGCAAAAAAGGGTAGAGGGGGGGAGTGGAGGATGCAATGTGAGAGCTAGCTCAATTTACCATTTGGTTGGTGGTCAGCGCTTCGAGATGTTGCTGCGGATAGTTGTATTCTGTGGGCTTATTGTTGCTGCTGTTTCTATTAAATGTCAGCAGAAATTGACCAATGATAAAGAGGTATATTTTAAAGGCAATCTACTGTTGCCAAAACCTTTCTATTGGCATTTTATTTGCAAGTTTGTTTAGGCCACCGAAGTTGACTGCGGTGATTGTGGCTTCTGTCGCACCATCTCGCTAAAGACGCCGTAAGCTACCTAGACACCGTAACCCCCCTACACGCCGTATTTTTTAGCGAAGGTTCCGAGAACCCCAGCAATGTCAACGCCCAAGGATGTGGATGCGGAGAGAAGGCGCTCAGCAAGTTGGAGAAGGACGACCGCGTCAAGAAGATGCACGACTGCTTTGTAAGCTAATTTGTACTTAATAATTTCGAAAACTTTTTAGGAAGCCTCAAACACGAATGCTGAGTTCTCCTCTGAAGGAAAACCCAATGGTTTCCTAAAGGATATCTGCTGCGCGGAGTCGCAATGCGGAAAAGGTGGCGAGAAGAAAGATGAGACGAAGCCGGCAGAGAAGAAGGAGGAAGAAAAGCCGAATGGCGAGAAGAAGAAGCCGGAGGACAAGCCAAAGGAGGACAAGCCAAAGGAGGACAAGCCAAAGGAGGACAAGCCAAAGGAGGACAAGCCTAAGGACGACAAGAAGCCCGAAGGGGTAAAGAAGGATGATAAAGATAAGAAAGGAAAAGATGACGACATGAAGAAGGATGACAAGCCTAAGGATGAGAAGAAACCCGAAGAGGATAAGAAGAAAGAGGAAGGAAAGGACGAGAAGAAACCGGCATTGAAGGGAGATGAGAAGCCGAAAGAGGAAAAGAAGGATGACAAGGCGAAGAAGCCTACTGATGAGAATAAGAAAGACGAGAAGAAGAAGCCGGCAGAGGACAAGAAGAAGGAAGAGAAGAAGCCTGATGAGGAGAAGAAGAAGCCAGAAGAGGAGAAGAAGGACGAGAAGAAGAAGCCAGAGGGAGGTGACAAGAAGAAAGACGATAAGCCGGAGGATGCCAAGAAGGATGATGATAAGAAGAAGCCAGAAGATGATAAGAAAAAGCCCGAGGAGAAGAAAGGGGATGATAAGCCAAAAGACGATGACGATGAAGAGGACGACAAGGAGAAAGATGACAAGAAGCCCAAGGATGACAAGAAGAAGAAGCCGAAATCAAAGAAGGGAAAGAAGGGAGGTGGACTCGCCGGATTCCAAGAAAAACTCGCATCGATCGACTCGAGGATCAAACACATTGAGGATTTGCTGACGATTGTTGCCGAGAAGGCGAAGGCTGAGAAGAGGTATAACTATTCGTGTCCTTATGTAATTATTTAATTTTTCAGGGCCGCTGGTGTGCGGCCATGAAGTTGACCGCTAACTCACATAAAAAAATTACTGCCAAGGCCGTGCTTAATAAAGTTTTATAGTGTTTTTAATTAACGAAAAGCGCGTGTTAACACAAATTAAAAAAGACAATTATTAAAGGACACAAATGCATTTTTCACCATGCCAGGCACCGTTGACTTGTTACAAAGCCAAGATCTGCACCAAAGGCCAGGGTTGACTTTTTGCCAGAAGTCTAATTACATTTTCTAAAGGCGGTCGCGCTTATTCCTTGCCCATCTCTTCCTTTCCGAAAATCACCCAGGTCTCACTCTTGTTGTTTCAAAGGCTCTTAGAGCATCAACACGGTGAGGAGAAGAGTCGAGCCTCAGCCGTTCCACCTGGTTAGCCACCGTTTTTGTAGCGAACGGTCCAAACGTGTGAGGGAGAGCGAGAGAGATAGAGAGCGAGAGAGATAGATAGGTGGAGAGATAGACGGCGGGAGAGAGGCATGGGCTGATCGGGTTAGCGTCCATCAAAATGTTAGCTGCCCTGAAAATATAAATGTGGAAGGTGCGGCCGGGAAGGGTGAGTATGGAAGGTGATTTGTCAGTTCCACCTTTTGACCCGAGCCGGGCCCTGGCGCAACCTTATCCGCCGTATTTAGTCAAGTTTTTGGGAGGTTTGGAATCACCATAGCGCCTACTTTTCAGCAAATATCGTTCAATTTATTAAATGGTTTTACTCTATACTAAATTCTTATAATATACGTTAGATTTTTAAGCTAAAAAAAGGTTCAGTATACAAAATGAAGTGCATGATCCTGATCCTTGTCGCCGTGGCCCTCTTCAATATTGTTTCTGGAAGAAAGTGCAGCTTCAACAAAGATGGAGAGAAGGTAAGCCTTGACTTGAATTTTGGCAAAACTATCCGTTTCCAGGCGAAGGAGGTTGATTGCGGAGACAGCTGCGACTTCTGCCGCTTCGTTCAGATCAAGTTTAATCTCTACTGAAACCCCCGTAACAACTCAATTTAGGGACGACCTGAAAGACAAATCATTCAAAGCGCAGGGATGTGGTTGTGGGGCTGATAAGTCGTTGAAGGTCACGGCAGTGGATACCTTCGGAATTAACTCGCTTGGAGATTGCGCGGTAAGTTTTATCCTATCCTATAAGCGAGAAAAGTATGTTTGTTTTCTGTAATGACGATTTCTCGGCCGTCAGGCCGAATATCGCGCTGATTTTTGGCATGGAGGTGGAGAAACACATTTGTCAGACACGCATTTTTTTGTTTTTCGAAATTCCTCTTTTTAACAATTTTACAAGCAAAATAGTAAAAATCCTTAACAAAATGGGCCAATGGCCGTGGTGTTCGGGACATAACTCGATTCGCATTTGGAATTTCGGGCTGAAATTTGGACCAATTATGTATTCGATAGTGGGGATCACGCGCATCTTATTATCTTAACAAATTTTCTGCAGATTCAGACTCGAAAGCTTAATTTTGTAAAGTGACCAGAAGGCATCTCCCCCGGGGCATTGGGTCGGTCTTTCTGTGCCTCCCCGCCCGCAATTCCCCGGAACAGAAGAGGGCTTTCCCGCCGCCTGTTCCCATCTACCCCGTGGCGTAGTGGAATGGCGTCTGGCCTACCACCCGAATGATCGTGGGTTGGGATCCTGGGCAAATATAACCTTTTGCTTTTTGGTAGTTTAGCAACAAAACATATTTCTAGGCTCTCGGTGTGCGCGGTTTAGGCCTGGCTCTCGCTCTAGCGCCGCAGGCCCAAGAGAACGCCCTTGACCCAGGCTCTCGCGCCGCAGGCCAAATCCGCGAGGAAAACCGAGTAACTAGCGCCGCAGGCTCAAAAGTTCTAGCGGAACGCTGGCTCTAGCGCCGCAGGCCAAAGAATGGCGCCATTACTCAGGTTCTTGCGCCGCAGGTTAAATGACGAAGGTATTCAAATTCATGATTCCTGGACGGGGTCCAGTGGAAAATGGCCGCGAAGCGGTCTTTTTCCACTGGTAATTTAATATACATTGTTTCGAGCATTACTGAAGACTCGATTTCAGACGACTTCCTTGATCAAGGGAACCCGGGAGGCCGGTGGCAAGACCCCAATTGAGATCCATATCGAGTGTTGTAAGAAGAACGAGTGCGCTTAAATATTTTGATATCTTTTTTTTGCAGATATATACTTGTGTTTTTTTTTGGATATTCTGCTATTTTTCAAGTAAAAAATCAGTTGCATTTTGAATCAGTTACGTGCATGTTCAACCAAAAAAAAATATCTCTTTCAAAGAAATGTATGGTTTATGTACGCGGTACACCTAATCTCGGCTTATTCCGATAGAAAACACGGAAAATGGAGGAATAAGCCGTAGGCAACACCCGTTATCTGGTTAATACAAACGCACACAGCGAAAAAGCTCCAAAATACAGGTCTAGGCACGAAAAAGCGTTCACATCGTTTCGATGATATCCTCGGAACCCAGCTGCTCGTCTAAGATACTAAAAAACAGAAACGGTGATAAATAAAGTGAATAAACCTACTTAATATCCAGATAATATTCCGTACGTCGACGCTCTTTTAGGTTATCTCGGAAAATGTTGGTCAGATCTTGAAAAGCTGGGCGATCGGCAGCGCCGGGTTCCCAGCATTTTTTCATAATGTCGACCCTGTAAATAGGGAATTGCGCATTATCAGCGATTATATTTTTCATTTTTAAGCTTAAAACTTCCTACATCCAACTTGGTGTGTCGGCATTTGGAGCCGGGCGTCCGCCATATTTCAAATGGGCCAACAAATCGTCCAATAAGATATCGCTGAATGGCTCATCCCCAAGCGCGTGCATTTCCCAGAGCAATATCCCAAAAGACCACCTCAATTAACGGTTAAATTATTTTTTTAAATTTTAACGTACACGTCCGATGCTTCCGAATATTTCCCCGTCTCAATCGCTTCAGGAGCTGCCCATTTCAGCGGGGAACGGCTCGTTTTTCCCTTTCCAGAGTAGTAATACGCTGTGGATACCTTGCTTTGGCCAAAGTCAGAGATCTAGTAGGTGTTATTTTGAAGGTACCACCCGTTAACCGACCTTCACAAGCTTATTTTCAGTCAATAACACGTTTTTCGCCGCCACATCTCGGTGGATGATTTTTTGGCCGACCAAAAATGCCTGAATTTCTGGATCCCCCTAACTCAAATTTGTCTTACCAATCCATCGGCAACTTGCCAGGCAATTAACGGAAAATCAGGCCAGCTTAGAGCCGAAGGTTCTCTCTAAGAAAAATGTTGAAGAAGGAGGCTAGAAAATACCTTCTTTTCGGCCATTTTTCTCAGCAACGTCCATAAATCACCCAGATGACAGAGTTCCGTAATTACCAAGGGATTGTCGGGGTTTGTCGAGGCGCCGAGTAACGAGAGAACATGCGGGTGATAAGGTATTTTCTTCATTAATTCGATTTCATGCCGTAGGACAGTCCTAGTAAATACATTTAAAGGGCACGTTCAGGGACGTTTGTTTGGAAAAAAGCAAAGATATTTGCCGCGGCCGGGGGTCGAACCCGGGCCCTCCGCTCGGGAGGCGCGAATGCATACCAGTCAGCCACAGCTACAAACTGGCGAGGGGATGAGGGGCGCCCCACGCCGCAAAGGAGGGAAATTGCCTCCCGCGGCATGGGCAGGCAGTGCGCGGGGTCCCAACGTCCATAGGGTGTACACGTTGGGACCAGTAGACGGCCCCTCGCTGAACGTGCGCATCAAACAGTGTCGATTAAAGGACACGTTCAGGGACCTTTTCCTTAAAAAAGCAAAGATTTTTGCTGCGACCGGGGTCGAACCCAGCACCCCCCCGCCGGCTCGGGAAGCGCGGATGCATACCAGTCAGCCACAGCTACAACCTGGCGAGGGGATGAGGGGCGCCCCACGCCGCAAAGGAGGGAAATTGCCTCCCGCGGCATGGGCAGGCAGTGCGCGGGGTCCCAACGTCCATAGGGTGTACAGGTTGGGACGAGTAGACGGCCCCTCCCTGAACGTGCGCTTTAAGCTAACATTATTACCTAGCGGTATCAGCGGCGGCTGCTTTGACGGCTACTTGATATCCGAATGGTTGTTGTGGGAATAAGACCTAGGCTTTTGGACGTAGAACAAATAAATAAGTACGTACGGCAAGTGCAGGATAAACAGTCGTGCAAGGCAAATTTCCTTGTAGTTTTGCCTCCAGCACATCACAAACTGCTCCTCTACCAATCAAATTCTCAATCTGTAGCAACGCCAAATCAATTTCCCACGGATCGACAAGATAATCATGCGGCTGATTAGCATATCTGAAAAAACTTTGAAAACTTAGATCTACTCTACCGTATCAAGTTGTCTTTATGTCTTACAACGACCGTTTGGCGTGCGAAGAGACTTTGAATGTGTTTCAGGCGGGTTCTATAAAAAGTATCGTTTCGGAATCGATTATGTACCTTTTACGATAAAAGCTGATACCAACGACAAATACGGCAATGACGGCCAACAATGCCCCACCGGCGATCAAGCCGATTGTCTTTGGGGAAAGGGTAGGTGAAGGACTCGTAGCAGTCAACCTTTTTGTCGTTTCAATCGCTATCGCATCGGTGCTAATACTCTCTTCCTCGGTTCTTAGACTCGTGCGCGTACTCGTCGATTCCAACGTAGTTGATAAATTCGGGACTGCTCCGTTTAGCAAGTCTTCGCAATTCTTATCTATGGCAAACGTGATTCCCATCTGGCAATCGGTTAGTAGAAAACTTTCCTTGCCGTCTGGTTTCCAGTGTAACTAAAAGATCATTGAATTATCAAAATTGCCACATTGAAGTGAGTAAAATTGGGCCGTACCACAATCTTTTGGAGCGCGGCGGTGCAATAATAAGTCTTGCTTGAGTTGGTGAACCTTCGATATAGAATTTCACCATCTTTGTGCATCTCCAAATCCAGCTTCCCGAGAATTAATGCAGTAACGCTAAGACCAAGGCTTCTCTGTTTGCTGTCGTCTAATAAATGTCACTATTCAACTTGTTAAAAAAACTCAATTACAAGTCAAATCCCTTGTCTCGATAATCGGCAGATCGGAGCCGTAGGGAAAGTTGTGGCTAGTTGTATACCAAAATAGTTCGGTGGCTTTGGGGGTGATCGGCGCCTGGTTTTGCCGTTTATAAGTACAACATTGTTTATATGAAAACCCACCAAATCCTTCAAATCCTCGTCATAGTTCCGATCGATTGATTTGAATGCCATCGAATAGGTGCATTCTGCCATGTGCAGCCACAACTTGGAGAAACGCCAGATTTGTCGATAGAGAATACGGTAGGCCCCGCTGAAATTAACGTCTAATTCGCTAATAGTCCTTACAAATAGTAAGTATTAATTAATTTTCGCGTTTCTTTCTGATCACCTCCGTACGTCACTCCATAAACATCCATTTGACAGCTTGGACTGAAGGTCTGAAATTGGGTTGGTGGCGCTTGCAAAATGCAAATTGCTTTAGGGATTGACCGTTATATTTTTCTAGAATTGCTATCAGAATGTCGAAATTCATAATGTCGAAACTCATAATGTCGAAATTCATAATGTCGAAATTTCATAATGTCGAAATTTCATAATGTCGATTTCATAATGTCGAAATTTACATACGCTAATATTACCGGTGAAACCGCCAAATCCTAGCCAAAAATTTTTTCCACATTCTATTTGTTTTATCTTATCTCACGACAACATTTTTTTGCCTAGAATTCGGGGACTTTACCGGGAATTTTAGCCTATGTAAATTTCGACATTATGAAATTTCGACATTATGAAATTTCGACATTATGAAATTTCGACATTATGAATTTCGACATTATGAGTTTCGACATTATGAATTTCGACATTCTGAAAATAAGCCATTTTTCTAATACCTGAATAAACCCAAGCAAAAGCATATCGTCAGCAGGGGCAACGAGAAGCGGATCGAGGTCACTTTTCAAATCTGCTCCTTGTAGGACGCCAGGGCCGAATGGCAGTGCCGTATAGATTCGAGGCGCTGAAGTTCTCAACGTCGTCAATTGCCATTAAAGTAAGTAAGCAACTGGGTAGTTGGGACATCAAAATATAGCTTACACGTCTCCACACATTTATTCGCGTACGCAACCAGAGCATAGGTCAGGTTTGGAAAATTTTGATAGTGGTTTGGATCCGGGTATGTGACTTCGCTAAGGGTGGTAGGTGCAAAGAAAGCGGGCGAATCGAAGCTGCGACCGTACAAATCGCCCGCTCGCCATTCACTGAAATATCGGCTTCTGAAATGTCAGAATTCTTACGGTGAGTCGGGCCGATCCTTCGTGTCGTAGCCTGTCCAATTGACTGATGGTAGATAGTTGGCAATGTTGTTGTATTGGCCGCTAACAGCAAAATGGACTTCCCCGCTTTGGCATTCGGTGGAAAAAGTTATTGGCTAAATTTTACATATGGGAGACTTTTTTAATAATTTTTGAGTGTTTCTGATACCTGCATCGCCACAAATTGCTCCCGATTTAGCGTAAATGTTGGGGAATCTTTTGTGAGCACAATCGCGGTGTTAGCTAAGGTAAAAACGACCGCATTCAAAAATGCTGAAGATATAATTTTGGTCTTTTTCGATCCATGTTTACCTGGTCGAATCGATACTAGACAGAACAGCCTGAAAACAGTCATTTTCAATAGAACAAAAAAGACGTGTGAAGTGGGAACCAGCCGATTCCCATAGGCTGGCTTACGTCGTAGGTGATAACGGGGCATTATTCGGAGGTTTTCCTCGATTTCATTGCGCCGTTGTGTAAAATACAGCACAAAGTGGAAACTTTGCGTTTCAAACTACGCACAGCTTCGATGGTTTTATGTTTAATTTTCATTCGGATCCTATAAAACTTTCTGAATTTTTTTGACATGCTGCAACTGGACAACAAAACTCGTTCTGATGCTCTCGATTCTCTTCTGATGCGGATTTTCTACCTCTAAATTCTTTAAATTGACGCTTAAAATTCAGCAATTCTTTTTCCAATCCCATCTCGCATTCGCCCTTGCAATAAAAAATCCCGCAAATACACCGAAATTCAGCAAAAACAGCCCGCTGGCGATGACGCGCCGCTTATGGGCGAAATGGGGCGGGGGCGCATTCGGAAACGTCGAGTTCGAATTGTCAAGGGTTGGTTTGTATAAAACCGGAGTTGCCAGGCGAGCCATCTTTCCTAAAAATCACTTTTCCTAAAACTAGGTAATCGTTGACTTTAATTTTTCCTCAATGACTTTCTTTTGTGAAATTCTTCATCTACGTCGAGCTCCAAGCATTCGTGTTTTTCGATCTTCCCGAGGTCGAGCTCAGGCTCTATTGGGTCATTATGTAAATTTCTGAATGCTTTCGAAAATCTGGTTTCCAGGCAATTTGGAGGCGTGTTTTACGGGTTCAACGCGACGGTGGTGATTTTTGTGTGTTTTCCAGAGGTTTGCGAATTCCGAAAATTGAAAATTGATGTATATTAAGACCCGTAAGAGCCTGTGTCGTTGGCTGGGCCAAGAAGTGTCAAAAGGTGCTTCCTCAGGACGTTACCCAACCGAATCAGCCTCTAAAGTCACCGTTTTCTGAATGGTGTCTTGTTTGCATAAACCTGGAATTCCAAACACCTGAAATCGACGCCTTGCGCGTCGATTCTAAAAATTTAAGAGTTGGTGTCCCGTTTTTGGAGTTTTTCCTTAAAGCTGCTTCTGACGTCTGACGGATGAAACAGATATTTCGTGATGATAAAAATTAAAAAAAGTTGAATCTTGTCGCAGCTTTAGATGCAATTTCCATAAGTAGTTCGGAAGATCCAGCTTAAAATAATTATGGCATCAAAACGGCTTCTAAAACCTGAGCAACCAAGCGTCCTAAGGCTTGTAAAAGAAAATCTTAAACCATCTCTACAAGGTGCAATGTAACTTGATGCAACACTAAATTTGGTATGTGAAATTCAATTTTGTCCCAAGGCTGCGACGAGCTGCTGCACACGTATGACATCGCCCTCACTACGCAGGACGTCCGCACGACGTCTACGCTCCTCCCTTACTCCGGCCATAGCCCATTTATTTTCCCAGTTTTCCGCATCAAAAACCGGATGCGCCAAATTTTCCAAAATCCACATCTGTACCTAGCATTTCTTGCAAACAAATTAGCCGCCTTGCTACGCAACACCCCCTGGGAGCTCTAAACCCTAAGAATTTCCGCACAAAATCTACCCGAGCTTCCTCAAAAATACACTCTGGTTGCCCGAGCCATTTTTTGCAAATATCAAGAGCTTTCGCTAATCGCTGGCTTTGGAATTTTAGAACCCCCCGCGCGTCGCACTACTTACATAGCAATTAGCCCAAAGCTCAAGACCAGTTTTCCCGTCCCTGAAGGTTTTTTTCGAACGGATGCACTTGGTGGCTTGATGGTTCCAAGTGTCATTTAATTTTTGTGTGCCTAAATTCATACAAAAACTTTGATGCAAAATTTTTAGTAAAAATGGAGTTTCTCGATGCGATCAGCCTGGTGATGGACCTGCCAATTCCGCTGGCGATAGTCCTCGACATGTACCTTTTAAAAATATTATGGAAAGACAAGCATCTATGCCCGGTGTTTGCGTGGTGCTTGATGAATATTTGTAAGTTATTCGGCGATCATCAAATTTTATAACTATAAAGTGAAATTCGCCATAAAGAATTGCAACTCAAGGACCTCAATAAAGTATCTACATTTTTATTAAGTCGAGAACACGGCCATTTCAAAATTTTTCCAGTTCTCACCCACGTGGTCGTCTACATGGCCGAGTTATTTATCCGTATGCCGGCCCAGCAGGGGATATATTTAGAATTCTATATAGCCAACGCATCAGTGTTAGGAAAGGTAGCAACTATAAGAAAGGAACACTCTGAAAAAACGTGTTTAGATTTTCTATGACACCATGGTCACTTGGCTTGGCGCTCTCTCGACGCAGTGGAATTTCATAATGGCACTTTCTCGCTTCTGGAGTGTTGTGGCCCCAATTTCGTTTCATAGGGTAAGTGAAGTCAACCACGAAGCTGTTAACCCATATCCTAGAATTATTTTGATAGCCTTCTTCAGCCAAAATTAGTATCATCCTGATACAATTTTTTTAGGTATGGACTCGCCGTTTGCAAAGAGTGATTACACTTGTAATTTGGGTGGTCAATGGTTCTCTCAGTCTGCATATTTATATCAATGTGCCGTGCCGATATTGGGTTATGGTAAGTGGAGACCCTCACGTGTCTTCACAAAGTTGAGCCTTTTCCTAAGCCTAGGCCTACGCCTAGGCCTCAGCCTAAGCAGCCTAAGCTTAAGCCAAAGTTCGCCCTAACTATGGAAGCCCGACCAGACTCAGAAGTGGCTGCAAATTTGCACATAGCTAGAATCGACCACCTCGTTGTCTAAATTTGCAACTGATCTTTAAAACTACCCTTTAACTTTAAAGATCTTTAAAACCTACTTCAAACAGCTGTAAAACGTCGTCTAGACGAAGTCCACCTTAATGAAATATACCGTTCGAATCAGAAAAAAATTCTCTATCATATATGCTACTGAATAAATTAGAACTTCAAAATAAAAAAGAACAGCATCATGGCAAAACGCTGCTCGGGGGGAAGGGGGGGCGAAAAACGACACTAAAACTTTAATATCTCGAGATTTAAAGATCAGTAGCGAATTTGGATAACGAAATGATGATCAGCGTCGTCGATTCTATCTGTGTGTGAAATTTTCAGCCAATTCTGAGTCCGGGTTCCATAGTAAGCCTCGGCATAAGCCTGAATAAAAAATTACAAAATTTTTTCTAGGGCACGAATTCCATCAGTTTTGGCACCATTACCCCGGATCCTGTATCGCAGTTGTATACGGCCTACGTGGGTCCCGTGGTATTATTACTAACAGGTCCGTTTTGCAAGAACTTGATCTAGGAAAATTTAACTCAAACCCTCCATTACAGTCGTTTGTTACATTTGGCTAACGATCTCCCTATTAAAATTCCGTGCGGTTGCCGGGCTGGCCCGAAAGACGCTTATTGCCCAACTTCTCATCCATATTCGTAAGTAAATTCTGGAATTCCTCGGAATCTATTCAATTTTAAGCCAAGCTCAGCGGAGCCATTTTCTTCATCTACACCGAGCTGCAAGCATTTGTATTCCCTGCACTGCCCGAAGTCGACTTAAAGCTTCTCTGGGTTATTATGTACGGTTTCATTGTCACTAGGAAAACCGTTTTCAGGCAATTCGGCGGCGTGTTCTATGGCCTTAACGCGACCGTGGTGATATTTGTGTTTTTCCCAGAGGTTTTAACTGCAACCAATTTAATATTGTTGATTTTACTAGACGCGGAAGAGTCTTCGCCGTTGGCTGGGCATCAAATCATCAAAAGACGCTTTCTCGGGCCGTCAGCCCAGCGAACCAGTATCCCGATTAACCGTTTTCTAATTGCTCGAACGTCTTAATCATCGCGTATACACCGTACCCTCAAATTATTGTTAAAATGGGAGCAATGCCCAGAAAGTGCACACCGCAATTTGCGAAAGATGAGGTGTCTGGTAATGGCAGAGAGCACAAGGCGTCGGGTGGCCTTGATGAACTTGTTTTTTGCCAGTCCGAAAAAAATTCATAACGCCTAATTTCGCGTGCAGCTTGGGACAAATGTAAGTGCCAGTAAACACTAATGTGAAGCGTGTGATCGACGATCTCATCCCTTTATTTTTGGTGATCAGCAACAGCAAAAGAAATCTTCGCATCGATACCCAGAGTGAAAATCATTGGTGGAGCTTCTTTTTGTGAGAAGACTTAATAAAATGTATTTCAAGCTCAAATTAATTTCCGCACTGAATTCAGTAAGAAATTGTGGAAAAATGAAACATGGGTTTGATCCGAAATTATTGATTCCCTATCACCTGTTCGAAAATCATCTGTTCGAAAAATCATCTATTCGAAAAACGTTTGTTCGAAAAGTCATCTGTTCGAAAAGCCACCTGTTCGAAAAGTCGCCTGTTCGAAAACCATGTGTTCGAAAATGGTCATTTTTGGTACCATTTCTAGGCAATTCCACATGCAAATTTTTCGAACAGATGCGTTTTCAAACAGGTGATAGGGAATCAATAATTTCGGATCAAACCCATGTTCCATTTTTCTACAATTTTTTTCTACAATTGCAAATTTTTCGAACAGGTTGACTTTCCAATACATGATTTTCGAACCGGTGATTTTCGAACAGATGATCGGCCACGGAAATTTTTCCGTTCAACTGGCGGATTTCACCTTGTAGAAACACCGCTCAAAATAGTTTTTGAAGTCTGGGTGACATATCACTACATGACAAGGTCTTTTCCTCGCGCTCTTTGTTGCTCTTGTTTGGTAAAAAAACTTTCTTCGTTTTCGATATCGTGACCAAAAGTTTGAGGGCGACTTTGAGAACTTTGCATGCTCAAAATTGGTTCCGGAAATTCACCTGATTTGCATAGAAAGTTGCATATAAAAGCATACCATCCACAAAATTCCTCATTCTGCCCATCGACCCGTTGCGATGACTCTGAAGCTACAACTCCTTGCGCTGCTTTCGCTTCTGCTCCTCACCGGGTATTTTTGCGATGTTGCTTTTCAGCTGCTTTTTAGCGTGTGCCATGGTATGCAAGACGCGGCCCCCG